GTTCTTGGTCTAGAACCGAGACCGAACCAAACCATTCGGTTCTCGATTCGGATACCCGTTCAGGTATTTCATTTTAAAAAACCCGCTCGGTTTGGTTCGGTTCCGGTTCGGTTCGGATATTTTGCCCAACCCTAATTATTGCGAGTTCCATCTTAAAAGTAGGACCGGACAAAACACTCGCCTAACCGACCTGGAAGAGAGTGATAATTCATCACCTATCAAACATACTTAAGAAGCTCATTTCCAGAAACCTCCAGCAAGTACATATTTCCTTTCGAACATGTGATTAAAAAAAAAAAAAAAATTTAAAATCACCTACCATGTTACTGGTCATGGTCTGCACTGTTCCAACTAAAGAAAGGAAACTTGCAGCCTAAACCCGTCAGCCCTGAGCTTCTGGTAGGCACAATTGTCACTTCCTCGACCACTGTCCTAAATAAAAAAGAACTACTGATATTCGTTTTCATTAGCCAGCTGAAAATTATATCTAACTCCCTAGGCTAAGATCCACAAATAAAAGCTATAAAGGAAAAGATGAGGAGACATTATTAATTTAATTATAGTGTCACCACGGGAAGGGGGATAACACTGAAAAAAATGAACAAATTACACCTTTCCCAACGGTGCTTGATATTACAGGTGAAAAGAAGCAGACTCGTAAGTACATAATATCGAACAAAGTCACAAGGATGAAGAGAATTAGAAGACGTATGCTAGCAGCTCCAGTCACTTGCATGAGCATATAATTACGATTAATTAAACATCTGGAACAAGAATACATACGAAAAACATTATTCATGCCAAAATGATATAATTAGGATGAACACTTCATTTCTTATTGAATTATAGTATACTATGTTACCATTTGGGGTATACCAAATGCACGTGTTGTTTCCTGTGCAGAAGTAGTTTCCTCATCGATGGTTAGAAAATCTGCCAAAAGAAAAATGAAAGAAAATAAATAATCATAACGATACTTTGAAAAGAAAGAAATTCAGTGCACAAAATGAGAAAATACAATATGAATCACATTTACTCCAGCTTGTCTATCTATACCATACCAAGAAGGCGGGTTTATCATTGTTCGAGGCATTAATCCACAACTACCAATATCTAAATCGTAGGTTTGGTTGTTACTGTTCCACATGTTACATCATTTCATATAACGTACAACTGATCATCCTCAAATCTTAAAATTAGCATGTGAAGCTGTCTTCCTTGAAGCCGAATATGTATTTGCTCGGATACTTTAATGACAATCTAAACAACCTATTTCTTAATATAAATAAATGGATTAAACTTTTGTACTCTAGTCTCCTCTATAGATATATCATAGAGTAATGCTATTCGTAAAAACTGGGATGATCACCTATCAGATAATCCAGCATTATTCCATATTATAAGATCAAAACAAAGCATAACGGCTTTTAGGCACCACTTGTTCTAGGAAATTTATTTCAGCAATTGCAGCTTCGAACCATATAAATTATCTCAACATTGTCATAATGTCATGTGCCCCTATGGGTTATCCATTTCAATGAAAATTGATTGCATAAACTATATTTTTGTAAATGATTTAAAAATTTGAATAGCAACCAAAGACTTGACATTCATCAAATAGTTAATCTATGACGGAATTACATGATAATCTGGCATCCCAGAGGATAACTTCGTCAAACTGAAATTGTTTTTTGGGCACGTTAATACTGGATTTTGTTTAAACATCAACCTACTGAAATGGTCGTATAAAAATGAGCACAATTAGAATGAACAAATAATTATGTCTAATTAGATATATTACCTTTGATTGTGGGTGTAGTCACATATTTGTTATTCCCTCCAAGACCTAGAAAATATATTGGTCAGCCTATTTCCTGAGAGTCTCTGCAAAGCCTTCTTAGCTCCAGTCACATCCATATCGGCTAATCTCTGCAAATGACCATAAGCACCGGCTGTCATTAGCCTCTTCCGACAACCATGGCTTGATCCAGCAGTAAGAGCAGCTACCACTGCCACGGGGAACTTCTTTGAAATAACATCATTAGCAGGATCCAACATGTGCACAAGCTTTATTAAACTCTTCTCATCTCTCACAAACTCTTTCCTATTTGAGCTCACCGATAACAATGACACTAGAGCGTTCGTCCCAATCTCCTGCAATCCATCGGGCTTCACAGACTCCATTAGCTTCACTAATGAACCCATACAACCACCAATGGCTCTCTTATTACCATCACTTATCGATAAATTAGCCAGCAACGAAGCACAAATTTTCTGTAACATAATGCTCCCATATTTTACGAGCTCAGCTATGTGTATTATAAATTTTGTTGATCCTGATAAAGTCAGGTGGCTTGAATGGGAATCCGATAACAAATAAATTGATTGTAATACATGTTCTGTCGTTTCAGGGCTTGAGGATTCGTGAAGCAAATGTAGCAATCTTTGCAAGCCCTTTTCTTGTAACAAGAAGCTGTGAAAAAATTTACCCGATGAAGCGAGAATGGCAACACAATTAGCAGCTTTCTCTTGAGCTGGGGGGATCCCACAAACAAGTAATTGAACCAAAACAGGGATGGCTCCTTCTTCTGCTAATGCAATTCGAATATCTTCAACTGTGCAAACATTTCTTATAGCCCCAACGGAGTATGATTGAGCTGTAACAGAACCAGATTTACATAATTCTATTAGTATCGAAACACCCCCATAGGCAGAAATCGCCCATGCATTATCAGGATCCGCAGTGATGAACTCCACGGCCATGGCAGCCTTTTCTTTTAAGGGCATTGAGCTACATTCAATGATTCTCAACAATGGACCCAAAGCTCCCTCTTCGAAAACACATTTCCTCGACAAATGATTCGCTGAAGCGAGCATTGACACTGCTACAACAGCCAGATCTCTCACAGAATCCGGATAAATGGGGTCGAGTAAGTGAATCAAGCAGTTCAAATTCCCTTCTTTGGCAACAACACTCCCAGAATTTTCATCCTCAGAAAGGAGCTGAATTAATGAATCCAATGCCTTGCGCTTGAACTCAAGACCCCCGATCTGAAGCCTTGTAAAGAGGTCCTTGACGAAAAAACAGAGGTCCTCTTTTGGGCCATTGGCACTGGGGTGAGAGAGAACAATGGCAGTAGACTGATGGAGGACCCCAGAGCGGAGAAGGAGCTCAAGATCGCTGGTTTGCTTCGAAAGCCAACCAGAGGCCATGTCGAGGTCCGATTGCATGAGGAGTTTCCCGGGAGTAAATGAAGGGTCAGAACACTGATTGCACAGGATTTCGACACGGCGAAGAGTCAAGAGGAGATCGGGGAGGAGGGTACCCAGTAAAGGGTTGTCGGCCCAGTGCGAGGAATCCGAGATTTCAGAAAGAACCGATTTTAATGTACCAAGCTTTGATCGAAGGCACTGCCATCTCGATGTAAAGGAAGTAATGGAGAGAGTAGACTGCAATAGATGACTAAGAAGTTGGGTTAGCTGATCTAGACTCTCGGTGGAACACGGCTGCTCCGGCGGTGGCCGTCGCTGGTGGGCGGTGGCGGGATGCATTTGCATATGGGTATTGTCTATTTTTATCTTATTTTATTGTAATTCTTTGTGGGTTTAATAAATATATTCCACTTCTTTTAATATCTCTTTGGGGGTGGGAATAAGCACATGGGAAGGCTCAGCTGCGTCTGTGTTTGCCTGGAATCGGAGAAGACAATAGGGTAGGGGATGAGTTGGGTGGGGTAGTGTAGGGTACCAGGGGAGATAGCAGTGAGAAGGAGCGCGCTATAAACTAGTCAATGCTGTTAGCGAGTGTAGGGTTACCGCCACGAATGATCATGGGCCGGGTTTTTTTGGGTCTATTGAATCTAACGGGAAACTTACACTAATAGCATTAAATGGAATTAGTGTTGGACATGGTCCAATTCGATTCTCTTTATAATCGAATCAAACTCGAATTTTTGATTATTTAGTAAGTGAAATTGTCGGGTACAAATTTAATTATGGAACTGTTTGAATTCGATTCGGCTCGACTCGATTCCCGAATTTCGTACGATAATTAATTTTTTAATATTTACAGCAACGCTATATTAATTCAACCAATGACATGTTCAATTTTAGCTCTTACAAAATAATGTAATCAAATTTCATGATATTTTTACGCATCTCTTTGTTGAGTTCTTCATACATTTGATTGTTAAAATCACAAGAAGAAGATAGCGAGCTCACAAGAAGAAAGTAGCGAGCTCACAATAGTGAAGAGATGTGTGCAACCGAGCTTGTAATTTGATTTCTTCAGAACGAAAGAAATGACACTACAGTAGAAAAAGAGATTTATGTATAATTTAGGTCAATTTGATTAAGTTGAACTTGTGCTGAAAATTAGAAAGTGAAAATTACATGGAACTAGAATTTTCAAGTTAACATTTCAAAAATCAGATTTAAAGTTCATTACTTCATTTTTACAAAAATCAGATCATAATTAAACATTTGAATATTAATAATAATATTTTAAAACTAAATTAATCTATATACCCATCCATATCCATCCAAAGCCTAATTATTTTCTCCACTCCATCCTCTCTTTATCTCTCTCTCACTTCTCTCTCTTATTCTTTTACACCGTCGGAGACAACGTGGCGTTGACGCGATTGCAACATGACACCACAGTGACATGGGCGACGACGTCATCCCGTGTAAGAAGATTTGAGAGCGGTAGGTGGTTTTCATGTCAACTCCGGCTATGATTAAATTTGCTTGTAGTGGTTTTCATGTCGTCGTCATGGCGATGATGAGGTGCTGCGGTAGTGAGATTTTGGTGATGATGGTGAATCTGCTTGGGGGTGTGGTGGTGGTGTTAATGCTGTTTGTGGTGGTGGTAGATGTGGTTTGGGGTGGTTTTGGTGTTGTTGGGGGGTTTTTGTTGGTTGCGTAGGTAGAGGTGCTAGTGGATCTGGCGACGGTGAGCGTGGCGATGAGTTGTTGAGGTTTTTGTTGGTGGTGCAAGTGGATGTCATGGTAGTGGTGGTGGCGATAGACGATGGTGATGGTGGTGGCGTCGACGGTGGTGACCAGTGGTTAGGTGTGGTAGTGTTGCTGGTGTGGTGTGGTGTGGTGATGGCGGTGTTGCGAAAATGGTGGTGGTGGCGACGATGGCAGGGGTGGTTGTGATGATTTTTGTTGGGAATATATTGGATTTAGTGGTGGTGGCTATGCTGGTGGTGCTGTTGTGGTAGTGGGACGGTGGCGACGATGAGATAGTGTTTGTGAACAATTATTTGGTTGATTTGTGACTAAGTATTGGTAGTGGATCGGGATCGAGGGTGAGGTGTTTTGGTGTATGTGACTAACTATTAAAATGTGACCTTAAAATTCGATAATTTGTGATAAGAAATAATGTGTGACCTAAAAAATTGTTAATATGTGATCGATAATTTATGATGTCTAATAAGTTGTGACTTATAATACTCGTGATTTGTGACCGATAAATAAATTGTAACGTATAAATTTTTTATTTGTGATCGATGAACAAATTGTGACCTATAAAATTTTTGAATTATGATCGTAAAATAATTTGTAACATATACAATTTGTGATTTGTGACCAATGAATAATATGTGACTTATTAATTTGATAGATTTGTGACCGATGAATAAATTGTGAAAACCCTAATTTTTGATTTGAGATCGATGAATAAATTGTGACCTATAAATTTTTTGAATTGTGACCGTAAAATAATTTGCAATATATAAAAAGTGTGATTTGTGACTAATTAATAATATGTGACCAATTTATATGGAATTGTAACCTTAATATATTTAATTAATAAAATATATGTTTAATTAATTAATTTATAAATAAAATTTAAAAAAATTTGAGATTTGAAATTGTAAACCATCTCTCTTAAATTTGAAATTAGTGAAATTCAAATTATATGAAATCGTGACATTAATATATTTAATAAATAAAATATATGTTTAATTAAATAATTAATAAAAAAAATCTGAGATTTGAAATTTTAAACCTTGATCTCTTAAATTTGAAATTGGTGAAACTTAACATCTTAGTTATGAAATCTTTCCAATTAGAAATATGAAAAATCATATTTTGGGTTTGAGCTAAATTAATTAGTTAACAAATTTATTTAGAAAAAAATAAAATAATTCAACTTATTTAAAATAAAAAAAATTAAGTACATTCGGTTCTTGGTCCGAGAACCGAACAAAACCTATCGATTTTCAATTCAGATATTTAATTTAAGAGGAACCACTACGTTCGGTTCGAGATTTTTCTCCAACCCTAAGTGAACGCAAACAAATATTCCATGGAATTGAAGAGTGGAAACAAAAGGCAGAGAAGAATTAGATTTAGGGCCGTAATTTCTTAGGTTCGGGCTGAATTTCATTTCTTTATGAAAAAAAGAAAAGAAAAGAAAAGCGAAACAATTGGGTTGGATCAGTTCTGTGGCTCTAGGTCTATAATCAAGAATCGAAAGAGAACTGGCTAGTTCGTGGTTCTAATAGCTATTAATTAATTTAAAATTTTGGAGAATCATACAAACCGGTCAATTCGATTTGGTTGGGTCCAGTATTTTTGTTCACCCCTAACTATTACTCAAATTATGTTGTAAAAACTTGAATGCTGCCTTTTTAAATTTAATTGTTGAAATCTTGAATAAATGGAGACCATTTTTTATTTTTTTTAGTGCTAGTAGTGCTTCTATTTTATAAGGTAAATGAGGGCTAGATAACCCAACTTTTCACTTATGAGTTAATTGTCCCAATGGTCATTGAACTTATGTCCGTATTTTCGATTGGTCACTAAAGTTTAAAATGTTGAATTTTGGTTATTAAACTTATCCAAACGTTGGACGTTATTCTCTGGCATAACATCCGTTTTAAATCTTTAACAGAATTAGTGATGTGGCTAGCGGAATACACTCGTTGCCCCTCATCATGTCGTTAATAAATTGCTACATCTTCGATTGATCAATAAATTTTGAAAAACGTTTTTGATTGCTCACTAAACTGTGAGATGATCGAATTTTGGCCACTAAACTTATAAAAATGACGTCGACCTGTTGTTCGTTAAAAAATGTATACAACAACGCACGAATTGCGTCAAAGTAATAAAGTGGATAAATGAGATTGAGTTGTCGTTCGAACGAGAAATGATTACTCAATTACACAATAGTTAAATTAAATTTTAAAATATTTTTATAGAATTTTAAGTTATTTTTTTCATTTGAAAAAAATCAAATTTATTGTGTGTTTCGTTGTTAAATTTAAATTAAAATAAAATTTGAATTATACAACGAAACACACAATTAATTTACTTAAAATTTGGATTTTTGTAACGAAACACATAAAAATTTTAATTATTTGAATCTTGCAACGAAACACACAATAAATTCAAAATTAACAACGAAATAAACAACACATTTGAATTTTTCAAATTATGAAAATAACTTAAAATTTTACAAAAATATATTAAAATTAAATTTATTAATTGTGTAATTGAGTAATAATTTCTTGTGGAATTGACAACCTGAGACTCATTTGTCTACTATATTACTTTTACACAATTCATTCGCTCGTGGTTCATATTTTTTAATGAACAATAGGTTGACGTCATTTTTATAAGTTTAGTGGTCAAAATTCGACCATCTTAAAGTTTAGTATGCAATTGAAGACGCTTTTCAAAGTTTAGTGAGTAATCGAAAACCTTTTTTAAAGTTTAGTGAGCAATCGAAAACGTCGCAATTTATTAACGGCGTGACGAGGTGCCACATGTGCATTTTGTTAGCCATGCCACTAATTTCGTTAAAGGTTTGAAACAGATGATATGCTAGTAAGTAACGTGCAACACTTGGATAA